AACGTCAGCTATTGTATTCTAATAAATCCTATATTAACAACCTCGTGTCTGCTTATTGAAGAAAAAACATTGAGTTATTGATAATGTTTCTATGTCCTGCGGTAGACATGCGAGAGCCAGAAACAGGTGCTCAGCATTCCTTAAAAAACGGAGACATTATGCTGGTTGTTACCATAGTTTCGTATTTCCAAATTAATACCTAACAGGTTTCGAATAAGTCTTAACGCCGTCACTATCGAGACCATTTTCCAAGCTGGTTGGACTAACATCCATTAGAAGCAATAAGTTCAATAAGAGAAGACCGCTAAAATGAAACGAGACTTGTCCTACGGAGGCGTTGACCGCGGGATTCAACCACCGAATTCAGCGAAAAACCCGTCCATCAATAAAAGAACTCGCGCTAGGTACTTCGAAAGCAGAAAACTAGATGGTTCTTAACGGACCATGAAAAAGAGTCTATCTGGAAAACAAAAAAGTTAAGGAAAAGCTCTAGCGTAATTGATCTCCTCGCTGTTAGTGTTCGTATTGATGTGACAACACATAGACCAGAGATAAAACCACGTCGCTGAAAAAAAATGAGAAGAACACGTCAAGAACTGTTAAAGTGCCATATGGTAGGATGCCAAGAACCTCTCCGTTTCGCGACGCACGCACGCCGCCATCCGCCTCCCGCTCCTCGGTACGGTAAGCCATTTGTGTGGACGGAGTGACGTAGTACTGCAACCAGTCAGCCGAGTACGGTTCCGACCGTCATCCTACTCCAGTACTCCATTTCGACATGGGCAAACCATCCACGCTACAACTGTTCGCTATTACCGCAACATCAGATTTCAAGAAATCCGTCACCTGATATTACGTGACATACAGAAACCATTACATACAATAGTTTGGCACCGTACCATGACCACTTAGTCCAATGGATAAATAAAGCACCTTTACCTGCTAGACCTGTTGTTTACCAGGTCTTTCCAATGGCGTCGATGTTGTGAACACCACCTTCGACTACTGATATCCGCAGTAATCCCATTAATGGTTGAGTAACCTAATAACCTTATGTGTACCTGTCTTGGATGGTGATCAACGAGCTCCGCTTGTTCACTGAACACGAAGAGCATCTTAAATTTTGGTATAAACCAACTTAATTTTACCGGGTTCTGCTGCGGCAAATGATCGCAATTAGCTCATTCTCGGATGGAAGTGTTGAACTTCATTCAGCTTGGGTAAATTTGTTGTACACCATAGTAGGACATCGTGGAACACTACCTAGCCACGACGAGGTGATGAACCATTTCACGGCTACCTTGGATATGGTGAAGAAATTCGCTTACTCATATTTAGCTGCATGAATGATATCCAGAATTTCTTTCCTGTATCAGTCTTTTCTTGTCAAAGTGACTTGCCTTACCCTGAATTGCATTGAAATTTACAACTGATAAGAACGAGGTCATCGATTTGATAAAGCCACGGTACTATACTTTGCTCTTTCATCTTACACTGTAAAGTGAAACTGAGATATAAGCGTCCAACACTTTATACCATGCTCAATGCGTTGCTCAAAAATTGATAATGAGTACATCGTGAAACATGAATCATGGTTTGATCTTGTCTCAAATTCTGAAGCAATCGTGCTGCCCCGCACCTGAAATCGAAGTTTCGTGTCCATATAGAGTAGTAGCAGGACTGAACTCAAATCTCTACATTTCACGTTAGCTCTGTCACTTTCAACTGCTCGCTAATACATAACCCTTTGGTACACCTTTCTAGTGAAAGAAGACTTCTACATACAAAATAAGCCTCTTAAAATGAGATTTTTAACATTACAAAAGTGTCTCATGTAAGTTGTAGATGGATAGGTTAATTTGAGGATCTAATGGCTCATATGATAATGGGTGGATAAAGGATAAATAGAGGATAAAGTTGTTGGCGTTGATCAATCCCTGAGGGATGTGCCATGCATTCGACTTCACTACGGATCGTTTGGAGGTGACTGAATGCATAATCGGCTTTTACAATAACTCGCGGTAGCCTATCGACGTATCGAGCCAGTGCTGCTACCCTCCCAGACAAGTCTGGTACCAATTTACCGACCCCGGAGGGTTGGAAGGCCTGTTGGCCAATGGGCGCGTGGATCGATTCCACGTGTCTAGAAGGGCGCCTCCGATCACTGCGCTACGCGCTCCCTTAACACACTTAATGGGTGGATAAAAATAAAGAAGCATCCAAGTAGAAAAACACTGCATGTTAAAGAATTAAGCGTAAGGCATTTCCTAGGAGCCACTTTCTATTAACCTTTGTATTGATGAATAACTCACTATTTCTTTGATTATTACATACGAGGTTGTTATTACATATTATTTATTTACAACATCGAACGCTTCTGCGAATCTGCCTTCTTCAGGGCCTGGAAAGATCAACTTGACAGCAGTCTACCTAGCTAAACACCTCCGTAACCATAACAAAGAGAATACACTCAGCGATCAACAAGTTGAGCTTTCCAGACTCTGAAGAAGGCAAGATCAACCGGAACTTCCGATATTGTAAAAAAAAAATATATATAATAACAACCTCAGTGTTTTATTCTTGACGGGACATGAGGTCGTTCACAACGAGATTTATTCGATAGAACACTGACCGAAGCAGCGGCGCTTTCGCCTTCTTTAGAGCCTGAAAAAGTCAGGTTGACAAAAAAATTCTTTTGAAACCTACGTACTAAACTTTATTTGCTGAGGTTATGGAAGTGTTTGGTTGAGTAGGCTGCCTGTCAAAATGATCCTTCAAGGTTCTGAAGAAGGCGAAACCCGAAACATCAGCCACTATTGTACCGAATAATTGCTCTTATTAGCACCGTCGTGTCTAGTCAAGAATAAAATACTGACTTAAGAGTCGAGCGTTCGGCGTTAGGGGCTTGGTTAGCGCAGAGCGCATGATGGGAGCGAAGACCATTTTTGTACGACAGAGCACCCCGAACCATTGTGCTACACGCGTCCACACGAACACAATAAGAATATTAGTTCAAGGATCTCCCTATGTGTTCTACAAAGCGGACCATATACGGCCCATACAAAAAAGACCTAGGTCGAAGGCATCTGCTTATGAAAAACGAATACCGTCGTCGATTTGTTAAAACAAAAAGACATCAGAGCTAAACTTAACAACTGAACATCAAAAAATTCAGTCGAAGTTGTCAGTACTGCTTTGTAGTGCTTTTATGGAAAAGTCCAAAGCGGAACCAGAAGTCTACTCTCCATTCGATATCGGGCTATCGTCACTATGAATTGCTACTCTTCCCTCTACGACTTGAAGAGGTAGACTTAAAGTACTTAAGCTTGACATTACTCTGCGAAAGGAGACTGGAGAAAGACCATAAAATACAACCAAAAAGAGCACCTAACGGTAGACTTCGATGCCTGCAAACGTTTCAGTTCCAGTTTCTACGACAACGTTGCTTTCTACCGCACCTCCCTTTCCCGCGTGTGGCGCAGTGGTCTGACGTGCCCGCGATACACGCACGGGATCGACGCTCGTGCCCGTGGCTCACCAAGCCTTCCATCACTCTGTGGTCGGAAAATTGGTACCAGACTTGTCTGAGAGGATAGAAGTACTGGGTCGATACCATCGGTAAGCCACCGCAAGTCATTATAAAGGCCAGGTATGCATTCAACACCTCCAATGATGGTTAACGAAGTTGGACGCATGGTGAATTCCTCAGGGATTGATCAACAGGGAGAGCTTTATGCTTTATCGTTTACAGCACTCCTTTTTTGATGTGAGAAAAAAAAAACGAAAACTTCAACTTCGAAAGGTTACTCGAATCATCATTAAGGACACAAATTTAAAACAATATTAAACCATATGGGAAAGCTCAATGGTATTCAAACAGATGGGAAACAGCATCCTAAATAGAGAGATTACGAAGATCTGGAACGTAACTGGTTAACAGGTTAGCCAAAATGTGAAAACGCACCTGCAGTGCAGGGCATCGTGGGTCCTGAAACGATTCGCCTGATATTCTTCGTTTGCCGATGTGGATGGCATTCGTTGATTTCGTTGACTCGGGCTAGAGGGGTTACGGTCCACTATGAACTAATGAGGAATGTCTTAGGTTTCGTGTACCGTCTATTCTGTTTTCATGGCAGGGTGTTAGGTGAACCGAAATGGAGCAAAGAGCAATGTATCTTCCATGAATTACGTGGTTTTCACTGGATCACTGAATTCATGATTGGACTGCTTTCTACTATTGGAAAGGAGTACAATATGATAGACATAGTTTATTGAGCAAATTTGCATACTTCGAACTCATTGCTACTATCTATGGCCGTATCGACGTCTCATGAAATGGGTGCGAAACATCCCAACTTCACCTCTTCCTCAAGCTTGCAACTATGTCTCTCCATTCGTAGTCACTCGTTAAATTATTCATGTCTGCGAATCTGCTTCTATGACCATGGCTAACCTTCTGTTAACCTTCGGTATTGATCATATAGTTCTCGCTATTCTGTTGAGCAAACACGGGGTTTTACTTTTGTTTATAACGTTAAAGCTGACGTTTCGGCGGATTTCGCCTTCTTTAGAGCTGTTTCTACATCTGTACTTTCTTTTCTGTGTGCATCTCATAGTGTGGACATGTTGTCAACATTGTTAATTTTAGACTAGAAACAGGCAAAGTAGGTTTGCTGGTATCAAATTTGAATCCGGCATGTTTTTCAGGTACTCTTATCAACTATTCGATTGACGAACCTACTGGTTAAATAGCAGGAAACCTTGTGTCATGTCGCCTTTCCATTTCTTCTTCACATAACTGATTATCATGATTCTCTTCCCTATTTTGAAGGGATAAAGTTGTCCTTTTGTTCCTTTAATGGCAGTGGAGCCAGAAATGTCTTAGCCTGTGAACTGGCTTCAACGTCTTACCGTCCTAAGAGCTTATGCTTAATAAATTCCGCTTTGTCGTTTGTGGCCGTTGACTGTGATTAAGTAGTGCTAAGGGGTAAGTTAAGGCTATGGGACGAGCTTCATTCGAATATGACGAAGTGGGTAATACATTTTATTACGTCTTAGTGTCGTTCTATGCCATAATCCTTCTACCAGCTACGTACTTTTTCCTGCCAACTGGGAAAACAGGTCAGCCCTTTCCATTTCTTCATTCTTTCTCTTCAATTCCATTGTTCTCAGTTACTTTTCTTTGTGTTTCTATATCGTAGCTTTGTAGAGACCGTTAAAATCGATGAACACGATTGCCAGTGTCGTGGCTGCGTGAAAAAGCGCCAACAGAAGGAGGCCAACAAGCCTTGGAAACGTACTAGAACTGTTCTAAGTGTTTTTGTAAGTTTTTAAAGATCGCCTTTCGTCGATTTTTTATCTCTGCTGGAATGGGTCGTTTCATTGATCGTGATTTCCTACCTATGTTTAGGTTTTTTCTTTAGTTTCTCATCGTAGCTTGGATTGTCTTCGCTTTAATTGTGAAAAAAGTGACAGAAATCGAAATCACCCATGAAGAATACAATCCATATCAAATTCTGGGACTCGATCAAGTAAGTGTAATAATCTTTTTCCGTGCTGTGATTATTAGTCAATTTGATCGTTTCATGGTGCCGACATAGCCGCAGTAAAGAAGGCTTATCGAGAACTTTCGAAAAAAATGCATCCCGATCGGGGAGGTGATGCACAAATGTTCGACAAGATTGCGAAGGCTTACCAAGCTCTGACTGATGACGAATCTCGTGAGAATTGGGAAAAGTATGGAAATCCGGATGGTCCCACAGGTTGCTGCTATTCATTTCGTTTTCTCAAGTTTCTCTAGTGTTCGCGTATTCTGGAAAAGCATTTCCTTTGCAGCAACCACATTCGGTATCGCGTTGCCAAAATGGCTTGTAAGTAAGGAGTATGGTTTATGGGTACTAGCTTTTTACGGTCTTCTCTTTATGGTTGTTTTACCTGTTGTTGTGGTAGGTTTCTTAGTGACCGTTTTTGGCTCCTCTTCTACTGATTTGAAATTAAGGGTGTTTGGTGGTATAATTCGATCAAATATAATGTCGACAAGGTATTATTGGATACGACGCAGTTGTTTTATTATTTCTTGCACAAAACTCCTAAGATGGAGATTAACAGTGAGTTTTTGCAAATTTTTTCTGAAAGGTTAAAAAACCCCTACGTGGGAGTAAGTGGAGAGGTGGGTTAACTGTATCATAAATATCCAGAAGTATACATACTTAAAGTTCGAATCATAGTAGGGCTATTTTGTATATGTGCTCTCATATGCATTTAGCGAATCGGTATTGGTTCGAACAACCCTGCAACACATACTTGGTCGTTGGTTTGATTCTGCGCCTCGGGATCACCAAGTTTTCCACTCTTTCGGAGTGCGCAAGTTGGCACTAGATTTGTTCTGTCTGAGAGGATAGCAGCACTGACTTAATGTATCGATAGGCCACCGCAGCTTGTTGTACAGACTAAACATGCATTCAATCACCTCTAATGATGAGTTTGTTTTCTGATGGTTTTGTCCATTAAATTAGTTACTATTAATACATTAACTGTTGAAATTACAAAAACTGTTTCGTTGTTTTTAATTCTATTTTGCATCGTGGAGGCGATTGCAGCGGAAAATTCTTTCTGAACAGCTGTTCTTTTAAAAGCTGTGATATTGGATATGAAAGAATGGTATTGTTTTATTTCATGTTGAAAAGGACAAAGCTCTCAGCGTTGATCAATCTCTGTGATTGAATGCATATCTGGCCTTTACAATGATCCGCGGTGGCCTTCCCACGCATCGAACCAGTGCTGGTATCCTCCCAGTCTATCAAGTCTATTAAGTCTGCTATCAGTTTGCCGACTCCGGAGGGATAGAGGGCTTGATGGATCCCCTGGGGCACAGGGCTCGATCCCATGTGTATTGCAGGGCGCCTCTAACCACTACATCACACACGCCCCTTATTTCATGTTAAATTCAATTGTCGAGTTGGGTTTTACCACTACTGTTATTAGGAGTTCAGTGATAACTAAATCTCATCATCCTACTGTACTCAGCTGACTTTCACCTCGACGTGAATAATCAAATTTCGTTCAATTAAACTTAACAATCTAAAGGAATTGATTGACTAATCACCTTAAGTTTTATGACTTTCTTACTCCTTCTATCCTCAGACAGCGTTTATCGGAAGTGTTTTCTTGTATAATTTAGGAATGCTAATGTTACTTGGAGGATCGTTCGAGTTTTGGAAGCAATATAATAAGGAAATTATTGAAAGAGAGTCTGATGATGTGGAACTTACTCGGTATCTGGGTTTAAAAGACTAGCATGCATATTATTATTATTATCGGAAATTTTTTAAAGACGAATGAAGTCGCTTCCAAATCTTGGCGAAAACAAGAAGGAACGACCACTTTCGCTGCCATATTCTCTGAAGGCTCGTATTCTGATCCACTCACATCTCTCTCGCATTCCGCTTGACAATGAAGGACTTGAGTACGATCAGCGGTTCGTCTTATTTCTTTTGGAGTGAGGTCATGGTTGATCGTACTCGTTTATCCTTTCCGAGTTTTAGGTTTTTACTTGCAATGTTTACTTTAGATGGGTTACTTCGAAGATCTTTGTAATTCTAGTTACATACTTGCTCGAGTGCTACGTCTTACCGAGGAGATGATTTCCATGTCCCAGCAACTAACTTTTTACACGCAGGTTTGCAGACAGAAAGCTTTATTTACGATACTTGATATTTTTAGCGTTGAGGTTACTTTTACAGATAAAAGTTCCTATAGAAACACTCGACAATTTGCTTCGACTACAGCCTATGTTTGTGCAAGCGTTGTGGCCAAAGAACAGTCCACTTCTTCAACTGCCACACATCACAGATCATAATCTTCCCTATCTGAGGAAGGTTCAGTACTTTCATCGCTTTGTTTTACTCTCCTCCTCACTCCTTCCTGCAATTTTTTATGATTTTGGTATTTTTTATGTTTTATTACATGGGTCATATGTAGGGACGCATTTTTTCTTGCGGTGATCTCGCGACAATGGATAGCGAAAAGAGGCGCGCTCTTCTCAAGTCGCTTTCAGATGAAGAATACCGTGATGTCCTTGTGGTTCTTTCGTCAATGCCTCGTCTTTCTATTCAAACTGCTGTAGTCGGTAAACGTTTCCTCCGTTCTGCTTCATACATAATGGCTATTGTATCATATTCTGCATCATAAATGTGTTAATTTAAGTGGAAGGAGAGGATGACGCTCATGAGGTTACGGCTGGATGCGTAGTCACGATCAGAGTATCACTTACCAGAACAAGCTTGCTTGATCCTATTGCATGTTTCTTTTTCTTACCTATGTAATTTGTCAGCGACTATATTTTAACTTGGGGAAATTTCTTATTTCAATGTATTTTGCATTGCTTTAGGCAGCTGGGTTAGAAGATCAGAGAGTTCATATCCGAGAGGAGCCTGACGGTGACGTATCTGGTAATAGTGATCAAGAGGATGAGGAAGTTGCAGCTGGTGTCGGAGATCATGCCGTCAAGGAAGAGTGCCCCAAAGAAATCAAGGTTAGTGTTCTGCTTTTTTATGCTACGTTTTCTACTCGTGTACAATTCTTTTTTGTTTTAAAAACTTGCCGAATGGCTCTCCTTCGCTCAGAGAACACGCAATGTGTCGCAATACATTTTCCACATTTTCCTCTATATGCTTGTGGTTTGAAGTCTATGCTGACTCCTCTCCGATTTGTCTCGTATTTCACGAAGTGCCTGCTAAAATTTTGACGATTTTTTTTACGTGAGCAGTGCACGGGATTCTTCATTATTAGTAATCATTGTGGCTTTGATTACTATTACCTTCTGAAGTTCGTGTTACCTGCTCACGCAATGTCTAAGCTGAGGTTTCTGTCGGAAGCATTGAAGTGAGAGGAAATGTGCGGCTATAATGAGATTAACTTTGAGACAAGGCGTTTTCGACTCTTCCATCAACTTTTTCTGAACAACCTCATGCATGTCTCTTAGTTCTGTTGGTCTTCGATTTGATGTCATTGGTCATGTCGGTTTCTCTACATAAATGGAAGTGCTGCGTTGTCTTCCATCAATCTTCAATCTACACTATTCCGTTCATAACGTTTTCATGTTGACTAATAAATGTTTCGGTGTGATTAGGTCGGCTTATGCCGTAACGTTTTCTAGTTGTGTGCTGAAATGCTCCATTGAGGTAATGTCGTACTTTTTTGGTCACCATTCGCCATTCATAATCGTCTTTGTGGAGGAATGGTCGTTTAATCTTTCGAATTGTACAACTCGTTGAAATAGGGAATTGTTCGCATCGATGAATGCGAAGAATACAGACCTTACGTACGAGCGTGTAAACCGATGACCATTTTACCGCGTGTAAATATCCGTTATACGTAAGCATATATGTAAAGTTGTCGTTAAAGTCTTATCGATTTCAAGCCACTGGTTTCAGCTGTACAGATTTCAGTTCACATTAATTTCAATATAAACTACTGCAATCTGCCAATCGTATTGCGCCAGTAATGAGACTTCGCAGACCTCATTAATTTAAAATTCGACTGTTTTTGAATTAACATATTTTCTAATAACATTTTTGTAGTCATCTTGTCCGCTGAGAATTTCTCCAATAACATGTTGATTGCCTGAACAAGGGGTAGTAGGCTGACAAAAGGTTTTATAAGCATGCTGAATGAGGTAGAGCTTCGTGTTCCAATTCTTCAAACTTCTGTAATTCTCTTTGCGGGCGGTGAAGTTGAGCGACTCTTGCTGCAGAATTAGATCATTTTAATGGCCTAAGTCGTTGATATTGAAGTTCTTGAGGCACGACAGCTTTCGACCGTAATAATTTTACCGTGGTTTAAGAAGTCGTAATAGGTGATTCTGTTTGCTGACCACGGTGAAGTCAAAACATGATGCTAGTCTTACATCTGGGTTCCGGTGTTATCCCGGTTATCCAACATTGTTCACTTTTGGCCACAAGTTACATTGCGTTTTGAAATTGGATCGTTTTTATTGCCTAGCAGAAGCATTTAAAACTTCAAAACGGCAGCCTTGTTTCCTGATTAATTCATGCTGAGGAGTTCTGTCGAGTTTTCTAAACATTACTACTAGATTATTATCTCTTGGAAAAGCTTACGCTGTCTCGAACATTGTGGACCTATCTGTTTCAATTACCGCTTACAAAAAAAAACGTCAACGACAACACACCTCCCCGTTTTCATCTTCAGGACTGCTATCACCAATGATGATGTCAATTTGGGTGGTTTCAGTTCGTACGAAAGGCTAACGAGCGCTAACACAGGATCGGAAATTTTGGATTGGGAGAAAGAAACAAGAATTTAAACCGTCTCGCAGGACTTCTGTATGCGACACGCTTCTTCTATTCAAGCTCGTTTTTCGAAAAAAAAACCACTGATGGATATAGAATTTTCCTAACGGCACCACTCATGCGACAAAAGGTTGTCCGTATTTGACACATGAGTAGTCTTATAATTCTGCACTAGATCCGATCATTGCTTTTTCGGCACAGAGATTCAGTACAACTGTGAGCTGGAAATAAGTTCATATCATCGACCAAGAACATGAATTCAAACTGTGTATGATGAGGACATTCCGAACGAAGTGCTATCTATACGTGGCGGGCATATTAAGAGAGATCGGACCGAAGACTACAATCTACTTACCAAATCATTTATGCGCCAAATTCTCTTGAGATGCTTTAAACAATGAGATAAGGTCCTATCTCCATTATCACTAAGGAGTTGCTCCAGAAGAGGAAACTGGAGCTTGATACTATTTCGACATAAGAAATACTGCTGTTAAGAAACACTAGATGCTGAAGTGCTTCGCAGGAGGATCTACATGTGTGCAGACAGAAGAAACTGTTAGAGGATACACAAAAAAGAACTTGTTTGGAAAAAATGCCGTTGATATATATATATATATATCAACGGCATTT